CAGATTAGCAACCAGAGATAGCGAGTTTTAGAGAGAGCTAGATGAAAATCGAGAGTGAGATAGTGAGAGAGAACGAGATACTGGGAGATTGACTGGAGAGTTCAAACTTAGGACAGGGAGATTGACTGGAGAGGTCAAACTTATTTCTGAGTAACGTTACGTCATTGGCCTAATTTTCGCACAGTTAAAAATATTTACACGTTCCATTGGTCGTTCATTTACATCATGCAGTAGATACAATTGTCGTGTCGTTATAGACTTCTTGTTACGACAGTATGACCGATCCCCAGCAGTCAAACTAGTAACTTTCAATAAACTTCTCATGAACCCATAAGCAGAAAATAATAATATTGCCACCTTTCTTTATGTCTGTGTTATAATTATAGCACTGACTTCAAGTAAGGCAATTTTTTTTTATTGCAAGACATTTTTTAGTTTTTGGGTTTGAGTGTTTTCCAAATTTTTTTTGTACATATTAGTCACATTTACTAACAAACAAACAAAATTAAGTTAATTTTTTTTATGTGTATTGTGTGTATTTAATTTATGTGTGCACTTGGTGAGGTTAAAAATAGAAAGGGTGGAAGTAACAATGAAAGTGGACCAAAAGCTTGGAACACACCAGAAGCCATGGAATTAAAACATCCACACTCAAAGCCATGGAATTAAAACATCCACACCCAAAGCCGTGGAATTAAAACATCCACACTCAAAGCCATATAATTAAAACATCCACACTCAAAGCCATAGAATTAAAACATCCACACTCAAAGCCATGGAATTAAAACATCCACACCCAAAGCCATATAATTAAAACATCCACACTCAAAGCCATGGAATTAAAACATCCACACCCAAAGCCATAGAATTAAAAGATCCACACCCAAAGCCATGGAATTAAAACATCCACACTCAAAGCCATAGAATTAAAACATCCACACTCAAAGCCATAGAATTAAAAGATCCACACTCAAAGCCATGGAATTAAAACATCCACACTCAAAGCCATGGAATTAAAACATCCACACTCAAAGCCATATAATTAAAACATCCACACTCAAAGCCATATAATTAAAACATCCACACTCAAAGCCATATAATTAAAACATCCACACTCAAAGCCATAGAATTAAAAGATCCACACTCAAAGCCATGGAATTAAAACATCCACACTCAAAGCCATATAATTAAAACATCCACACTCAAAGCCATAGAATTAAAATATCCACACTCAAAGCCATATAATTAAAACATCCACACCCAAAGCCATAGAATTAAAACATCCACACCCAAAGCCATATAATTAAAACATCCACACTCAAAGCCATAGAATTAAAAGATCCACACTCAAAGCCATGGAATTAAAACATCCACACTCAAAGCCATAGAATTAAAACATCCACACCCAAAGCCATAGAATTAAAACATCCACACTCAAAGCCATGGAATTAAAACATCCACACTCAAAGCCATATAATTAAAACATCCACACTCAAAGCCATAGAATTAAAAGATCCACACTCAAAGCCATGGAATTAAAACATCCACACTCAAAGCCATATAATTAAAACATCCACACTCAAAGCCATAGAATTAAAAGATCCACACTCAAAGCCATATAATTAAAACATCCACACCCAAAGCCATAGAATTAAAACATCCACACCCAAAGCCATATAATTAAAACATCCACACCCAAAGCCATATAATTAAAACATCCACACTCAAAGCCATAGAATTAAAACATCCACACTCAAAGCCATGGAATTAAAACATCCACACTCAAAGCCATAGAATTAAAACATCCACACCCAAAGCCATTGAATTAAAACATCCACACCCAAAGCCATATAATTAAAACATCCACACTCAAAGCCATGGAATTAAAACATCCACACCCAAAGCCATATAATTAAAACATCCACACTCAAAGCCATAGAATTAAAAGATCCACACTCAAAGCCATAGAATTAAAACACCCACACCCAAAGCCATATAATTAAAACATCCACACTCCAAGCCATAGAATTAAAAGATCCACACTCAAAGCCATAGAATTAAAACATCCACACCAAAAGCCATAGAATTAAAACATCCACACCCAAAGCCATATAATTAAAACATCCACACTCAAAGCCATAGAATTAAAAGATCCACACTCAAAGCCATGGAATTAAAACATCCACACTCAAAGCCATAGAATTAAAACATCCACACCCAAAGCCATAGAATTAAAACATCCACACCCAAAGCCATAGAATTAAAACATCCACACCCAAAGCCATATAATTAAAACATCCACACTCCAAGCCATAGAATTAAAAGATCCACACTCAAGGCCATATAATTAAAACATCCACACCCAAAGCCATAGAATTAAAACATCCACACCCAAAGCCATAGAATTAAAACATCCACACTCAAAGCCATAGAATTAAAACATCCACACCCAAAGCCATATAATTAAAACATCCACACCCAAAGCCATAGAATTAAAACATCCACACCCAAAGCCATATAATTAAAACATCCACACTCAAAGTCATAGAATTAAAAGATCCACACTCAAAGCCATGGAATTAAAACATCCACACTCAAAGCCATAGAATTAAAACATCCACACCCAAAGCCATATAATTAAAACATCCACACTCAAAGCCATAGAATTAAAACATCCACACTCAAAGCCATAGAATTAAAACATCCACACTCAAAGCCATGGAATTAAAACATCCACACCCAAAGCCATATAATTAAAACATCCACACCCAAAGCCATAGAATTAAAACATCCACACCCAAAGCCATAGAATTAAAACATCCACACTCAAAGCCATGGAATTAAAACATCCACACCCAAAGCCATATAATTAAAACATCCATACTCAGAGCCATAGAATTAAAACATCCACACCCAAAGCCATGGAATTAAAACATCCACACCCAAAGCCATAGAATTAAAACATCCACACCCAAAGCCATAGAATTAAAACATCCACACCCAAAGCCATGGAATTAAAACATCCACACTCAAAGCCATGGAATTAAAACATCCACACCCAAAGCCATATAATTAAAACATCCACACTCAAAGCCATAGAATTAAAACATCCACACCCCAAGCCATGGAATTAAAACATCCACACCCAAAGCCATGGAATTAAAACATCCACACCCAAAGCCATAGAATTAAAACATCCACACCCAAAGCCATGGAATTAAAACATCCACACCCAAAGCCATGGAATTAAAACATCCACACCCAAAGCCATGGAATTAAAACATCCACACCCAAAGCCATAGAATTAAAACATCCACACCCAAAGCCATGGAATTAAAACATCCACACTCAAAGCCATAGAATTAAAACATCAACACCCCAAGCCATGGAATTAAAACATCCACACCCCAAGCCATGGAATTAAAACATCCACACCCAAAGCCATAGAATTAAAACATCCACACTCAAAGCCATGGAATTAAAACATCCACACCCAAAGCCATGGAATTAAAACATCCACACTCAAAGCCATAGAATTAAAACATCCACACTCAAAGCCATAGAATTAAAACATCCACACTCAAAGCCATGCAATTAAAACATCCACACCCAAAGCCATGGAATTAAAACATCCACACTCAAAGCCATAGGATTAAAACATCCACACTCAAAGCGATGGAATTAAAACATCCACACACAAAGCCATAGAATTAAAAAATCCACACTCAAAGCCATAGAATTAAAAGATTCACACTCAAAGCCATAGAATTAAAACATCCACACCCAAAGCCATATAATTAAAACATCCACACTCAAAGCCATAGAATTAAAACATCCACACTCAAAGCCATAGAATTAAAACATCCACACCCAAAGCCATATAATTAAAACATCCACGCCCAAAGCCATAGAATTAAAACATCCACACTCAAAGCCATAGAATTAAAACATCCACACGCAAAGCCATAGAATTAAAACATCCACACTCAAAGCCATAGAATTAAAACATCCACACCCAAAGCCATATAATTAAAACATCCACACCCAAAGCCATGGAATTAAAACATCCACACTCAAAGCCATAGAATTAAAACATCCACACTCAAAGCCATAGAATTAAAACATCCACACTCAAAGCCATAGAATTAAAACATCCACACCCAAAGCCATAGAATTAAAACATCCACACCCAAAGCCATAGAATTAAAACATCCACACCCAAAGCCATATAATTAAAACATCCACACCCAAAGCCATAGAATTAAAACATCCACACCCAAAGCCATAGAATTAAAACATCCACACCCAAAGCCATGGAATTAAAACATCCACACCCAAAGCCATGGAATTAAAACATCCACACCCAAAGCCATAGAATTAAAACATCCACACCCAAAGCCATAGAATTAAAACATCCACACACAAAGCCATAGAATTAAAAGATCCACACCCAAAGCCATGGAATTAAAACATCCACACCCAAAGCCATGGAATTAAAACATCCACACCCAAAGCCATAGAATTAAAAGATCCACACCCAAAGCCATATAATTAAAACATCCACACCCAAAGCCATATAATTAAAACATCCATACCCAAAGCCATAGAATTAAAACATCCACACTCAAAGCCATGGAATTAAAACATCCACACCCAAAGCCATGGAATTAAAACATCCACACCCAAAGCCATGGAATTAAAACATCCACACCCAAAGCCATAGAATTAAAACATCCACACTCAAAGCCATGGAATTAAAACATCCACACCCAAAGCCATGGAATTAAAACATCCACACCCAAAGCCATGGAATTAAAACATCCACACCCAAAGCAATGGAATTAAAACATCCACACTCAAAGCCATGGAATTAAAACATCCACACAATGTTGGTTGGTGGCAGCGGTAGACCTTCAGGCCCAAAGGGACGTTTTGAGATAACATTCTGGAAGAAAAACTGAATTCAATGTGTAGTATAGTTTTTATTTAATTTATACTGACCATGATTATACTTTAACATTATTTATTTAGATACATTTCATCATATTCAAAGTTGATTCAACCAGTGATTCGCAGACGTTGTTCATCTAAGGACCCATTGAAGCTTGTGCTGTTTCATCGCGAAGCTTGTATGTAAAGTCACAGTTGCCTTCAGGGTGCTGCTCGGCCTGCAAGATGCGCACCTGCAGGTGAACGTTCTGGTGTACCTTGTTTATGATATACACCTGGTATGCGCTATGGTGTACCTTGTTTATGATATACACCTGGTATGCGCTATGGTGTTCCTTGTTTATGATATACACCTGGTATGCCTATGGTGTACCTTGTTTATGATATACACCTGGTATGCCTATGGTGTACCTTGTTGATGATATACACCTGGTATGCCTATGGTGTACCTTGTTTATGATATACACCTGGTATGCGCTATGGTGTACCTTGTTTATGATATACACCTGGTATGGCTATGGTGTAGCTTGTTTATGATATACACCTTGTATGCGCTATGGTGTACCTTGTTTATGATATACACCTGGTATGCGCTATGGTGTACCTTGTTTATGATATACACCTGGTATGCCTATGGTGTACCTTGTTTATGATATACACATGGTATGCGCTATGGTGTACCTTGTTTATGATATACACCTGGTATGCGCTATGGTGTGCCTAGGTTATCATAGCCACCTGGAGGGCGCTATGGTGGGCCTAGGTTGTGATAGACACCTGGAGGGCACTATGGTGTGCCTAGGTTATGATAGACACCTGGAGGGCGCTATGGTGTGCCTAGGTTATGATAGACACCTGGAGGGCACTATGGTGTGCCTAGGTTATTATAGACACCTGGAGGGCGCTCTGGTGTGCCTAGGTTATGATAGCCACCTGGAGGGCGCTATGGTGTGCCTAGGTTGTGATAGACACCTGGAGGGCGCTATGGTGTGCCTAGGTTATGATAAACACCTGGAAGACTATGGATACCCCAGTAACGGCACTAGTGGCCTTAACACTTTTTATTCAAATGACAAGATGATCAGGTTTTCATTATTTTTTTTAAAGATTGTAATTGTTAAAAATAACCAAGGTAACCTAATAGATTACAAAGACACTGGCGATTAATTGTAACAAACTATCAGAACATTTAATATGAAATAGATATCACAGTTAGAGCCGAAACTAGGCATCTCCTTTTTCTTATTTCCTTAAAGTTCGTAAATGGCTGTAAAGAATAGATTAAATTTACTTAATAAAAAATAAATAATCAGTGCAAATATAGTTTATGAGCGTTCTTGAAAAAAAATTATAGAAACTTATTTATACATTGAAAAAAATGTGTTTATCTTTTAAAATACAGTACAATATCTTTCTCATCAAGTTTAACTTGGTCGTCATCAGTCTGGCTCATCAAACAGCCTGTCAAAGATGACAAAACGCAATGAGCATGAAGTAAGTAGACACATTTTTTAGTTCAAAAACATATATTGTATGTTCACTGTTCACATTTTACACTAACACTTTATATTCTCCGTATTTTACAAATTTACGATTTTTAAAATTTTTACAAATTTATATCTTATTTCTTATTTTTATATTGTTACAACCCTATTCCATTTATATATAAATACAAGAAAATAACACCCGATACTGAACGTATTTAAATCTCTTCGTTTCTTTGGCGTTACGGTCAGCCTAGCTCATTCTTATATAATATATAGATATTTATTTATTAATCTTTAAAAATTATATTTTATTGTCATGTTTAATTGATGTAGCAATATTTGTGGCATATTTACAAAAGTACTATTTGACTGTAATCTATTTCGACCACTACTCACAGAGCACATTTTGACATGATCAGCACTCATCTCGTTCACCCACTACTCACAGAGCACATTTTGACATGATCAGCACTCATCTCGTTCACCCACTACTCACAGAGCACATTTTGACATGATCAGCACTCATCTCGCTCAGGCTGGTAGGGTTTAATCGAGACGGGTATTTTGTCTGGACATGTGTCTCATAGGCTTCCAACATCTGAAAACAGATTCAAATCATATGTCCCGCACCGTAGGAATGCATAGGTCAACGCTTGAAATTAAACAGAGATGTGTTACGGCTGTTACTTGAGCCTATTTATCTTAGGACTGTTTCAGTAACTGAGATAACCTAAGCATGTCGCTTAAACCGGTACAGTTTGTAGCTGTTACTTTTCAGTAACCTAATGATCGAGCTTTAAAATAAACTTGGTACAGGCAGTAAGGAAAATAAACAAAAAAATCTTAACTCATGCAGTCATGATATAATATAACATATCTGATAAGAAAATATTTAGAAAGCCGCTATCAGAGGGAGATAGAAAGTGCACATGACATGTGGTGTAATATAATTATAAACAAAATCAAAACAAATATTTCAATGAAATTATCTTTTCACTTCTTTTCATAGTTAAAAAAATATATGTTTAAAAATGAAAAGAAACACATTTATTCATTCAAAGAGCTTGTTGATGCCAGATGTAGAACACACTAACAGATGGCCCCATATGAAGAGCCCGTTAACAGCTGTCAAAAAAAGGAGAGCCGGTAACAGCTGGCCCCATATGAAGAGCCCGTTAACAGTTGCCCCCATATGGAGAGCCCATTAACAGTTGCCCCCATATGAAGAGCCCGTTAACAGCTGCCCCTAAAAGGAGGGCCCGTTAACAGCTGCCCCTAAAAGGAGGGCCCGTTAACAGCTGCCCCCCCCGGATGTGTGAACACAATAACAGCTGCCCCCATATGTAGAACACACAAACAGCTGGACCCGGATGTGTGAACACAATAACAGCTGCCCCCATATGTAGAACACACGACGAAGAGCTGGACCCGGATGTGTGAGCACACTAACAGTTGTCTCATATATAGAAAACACTAACAGATGCCCCCAGATGTAGAAAACACTAACAGATGCCCCCAGATGTAGAAAACACTAACACATGCCCCCCATATGTGTAAACACACTAACAGCTGTCCCAGATGTAGAACACACTAACACATGCCCCCCATATGTGTGAACACACTAACAGCTGTCCCAAATGTAGAACACGCTAACAGCTGCCCCCAGATGTAGAACACACTGACAGCTGTCCCCAGTTGAGTGAACACACTGACAGACAGTTCCCTTACTTGCATGGCACATCGTTTGACTGGCATGCGCCCTCCACCAGAGACCAGACCTGGCACCAGCACTTGTCGTATTGGGCTCGTCTTGTGATCAAGGTTGTGTTTCCTGACTATGGGATCAAATAAACCAACCCGTGAGCTGCTAGTCAGTCTTTCATTTAAACTAAGTTTTTTGCGTGAGTCAATGTGTTAATTTAGTGCCAGTGAAAATCATAGTAGATGAATGAGAAGAGGATGCTCCTCCTGTCTCAACTGTCCTAGACAATAGGTCAATGATAATAATTTATTATGAAATTGTACTGGTACCCCACCCCTTTCTTTTTTTAGATATCTTATATATTTTCATTTGTGTGTCATTTAATACATAACATATCAGAGTGTCTTCTCAGCTACACCCCCACCCCGCCCCCCAAAAAAAACCCCCACAAAAAAACACGTTTCCCCCAAACTGATACCCCAGAGATGATTGTTTTATTTTTTACCTGCAAGAATGACAGCTCGAAAAGCCAGGTAAGCGTTGGGGGTAGTGGACACATTTTGAGGCACCCGAACGGTCGGAGCCGTTATTAAATATGTGATGGGATCCCCCTGATTCATGTTAGACCAGTTATGGGCCATGTTCCTCTCTGTCCGATCCAGTCCTCCTAGAATGACGGCCTGCCCCTGTGGACATAGCATGATTATCTGGTCATTTCTCAACGTTTTTATTTCTTGTTTTTGTTAGATTTTATCATTGTTAATATTATGTGTTAATTCAGTGTGTTAATATTAACTATTGTATTTTTATTTTTTATTTTGATCGTTACTATATTATACTATCGCAAAAATATAAATGAGTATCATATTTTCTAATGATTGTTGTTGACATCTTGGGGAAGGGGGGTGCGTGAAGCGCTTATCTTCATTTGGTCCAGGAGTTCTTCACCTTTTGTTCCATGGTCCCATTTGTCAGGCAGGACAATTTCAAGGACAGCTTCTTAATAAAACAGTTTTTAAATGCATAAAATAAAATTACGAAGGAAGTGCGGCACGCAGACCAAAGGGCACTTTTGATGGAACTCAAGAGGTACGGGCACCACAGGTTAAGAGCCCTAATATTCACCACTATTAGACTACGTTAACATATTTACCACTATAAGACTACACTAACATATCCACGATTATAAGACTGCACTAACATATCCACGATTATAAGACTGCACTAACATATCCACGATTATAAGACTGCACTAACATATCCACGATTATAAGACTACACTAACATATCCACGATTATAATACTACACTAACATATCCACGATTATAAGACCACTAACATATCCACGATTATAAGACTACACTAACATATCCACGATTATGAGACTGCACTAACATATCCACGATTATAAGACTGCACTAACATATCCACGATTATAAGACTGCACTAACATATCCACGATTATAAGACTGCACTAACATATCCACGATTATAAGACTACACTAACATATCCACGATTATAAGACTGCACTAACATATCCACGATTATAAGACTGCACTAACATATCCACGATTATAAGACAGCAATCAGATACTAACCACTAGAAGTTCCCCTTCATATTCATCTCTGATCACTTCTTGGAGATTGTCTTGTCTGAAATTAAAACCCGAATTAGGATAAAGAAAAAGCTTGCAATACGTTTTAATAAATGAGTGTACTACACTAGCTTACGAACAAACCGTCGTCAGTCATCAGTCATCAGTCATCAGTGCAATGCACAGTCAACTCACTCTTATCTGGCAGAATGGGGATGGAATTTCTCTGAAGATCTAAAAGTGGCGTGACTAGGGCGGTGCGAAGGGTAAAAGCCGCGCCGGGTGACGCCCTCACAGGGGGTGACACGCAATGTTGCCAACTTGTTAAATAAAATCTACGGACAAATATTCTAAAACTGCAAAGTTTTTGCTGTCAAGAAAACTTGTGTAAGGAAACATTTTTAAAGTCATACTGTCGAAACTAAGACGCAATAAAATGACATATCATTACCACTAAATTTGTTATGGCTCTACGCACAATACTGTCAAATTTTTAATATCTTACGCGTATGTTTCCATGACTATGACTTTATGTGATTTGACCATTTATGAGACCTAATCCCATTTGTAGGCGTTAGCTTATTGAAGTGGTTCTCAATCTTTTTGAGGTCGGGGAACACTAAACTCGGCTTTTTTTATTTATTATTACTATTATTCATTTGTTTGTGTGTGAAACACTTATAATACAGTATTATGTTATTTTTATTAAAAAATATTGCACCTTTGATTTTAAACATGTTGGCCACACCTGCTTAAAGATTATGTTGTATTGGAAGTCCTGCGCGAAAAAACAAACATTCAGAGATTAGTGTTGGCCACCCCTACTTCAAAGTGTTACTTTTATAAAAGATCAAAATTCCTATATTTAATGATGCAAAATTATTTATTTAAATTTACTTAAAATTACAACGCTCTAATAAAATCTCAATTTGAATGTGAGACATGAGCTTGGTGACCTTGGCAGATTTCAGCAATCTTGGGACAAATTAATGATAACAGCACTCGCATCTCCTCTTCTAAGTCTACCAGACTCTCTCGTTCCTTTGTTTCAATATTTACTAGAAAATAATAATGTGTATATTTTTTTTTTTTTTTATTTTTTTTTTTTTTGTTTCGTGTTTTTTTTTCCTTGACCCAGGTATTCATCTTTAACAGAGATCCAGAATTGTTTAATGTGCTTCATGGTGTATCCACGATCTGTAGAAGTAAATCTGTACTTGTTGTTCATTCAGGGTAAAAATGGAGACGTCAGAAGAAAAAAAAATGATTTCCTATCCAATCAAATGTTTTAGTATTCCGCGGAGTACTCAGTGTTCCGCGAAGTACTGAGTGTTCCGCGGAGTACTCAGTGTTCCGCGGAGTACGTTTCGAAAACTTTTGGCTTACTGAATGATATTCTTACCAGTTTTCCGTTCATTATGAGTATAAAAGTTTAAAGCAAGATGTAAAAAATGTCTCTTTTTTTTTTTACTGACATCCTAGAGTTCTTACAACCGGTTATGGACGGTTTTGGACGGTTATTGACGGTTACGGACGGTAACGGATAGTTACGGATGGTGACGGACGAGTCAATTTAGGTCATTTAGTTACAGACTGTTTGAACATATGCGCACGGTTGGCAACCGTGGTGACACCAAATGGAAAATTTCAAATTTGCGCGTTCATTTTTGAAAAACAATGAGCTATTGGCGATCTAATATGAAACAGTCCAGTCTTCTTGGCCAATCGATTTTGCCCATTGAAAGTGATACGGCGAGGACGACTTGCTTTGACAGGTCAAAGGACTCTTTGAAGCTCAGGAAAGTAAATTTGTAACTGTAAAGATGTTTCATCTCCCCGACCTGTGCCTGACACTAATAATAGTGTTGCTCTTCTTTTTTTAAAAAAAGGAGAAAAGGGCCGTGGCTAAATTACATTGTTTCATTCCTTGTGTCTACCTACTTACATGTCTTGACCAAAGTAGTTAATTATGGCCGAGTCCATAGCCCCTTTTCCCATGAAGCCAAAGCTGTTGCCAGGGCAGACCTGGGGTTGGGAGATTCCAATTATTATTGGAGAGAGGGAAAGAGAGTTCTATAGAATTTTGGTAAATACGTCACAGCGAATTTTGGGGAGTGGGCTTTAATGACTAATCAGAGAGAAAGATTTCAAGGGAATCTGAGAGAAGGATTTCAAGGGAATCTGAGAGAAGGATTTCAAGGGAATCTGAGAGGAGGAATTCAAGGGAATCTGTGAGAAGGAATTCAATGGAATCTGAGAGAAGGAATTCAAGGGAATCTGAGAGAGGAAATTTCAGTGAATCTGAGAAAGGCAATTTCAGAGAATTTTAAAAGGTTAATATCAATGAATTTGAGGGTAAATTTTGGTGAATCTGATAGAAGGATTTTCAATGAATGGTAGTTGGTGAGTTTCAGTTGTGTTAGATCACAAGATGGTATCAGCTAAAGTATTGGATTGTATTCGGTGTTGTAGTGTACATTTAACTATATGTGGGAGAGATTTTCAGTGATTGTGGGAGAGAGAGAAAGAAAGAGAAAGAGAGAGGGACACAGAGAGAGAGAGAGAGAGAGAGAGAGAGAGAGAGAGAGAGAGAGAGAGAGAGAGAGAGAGAGAGAGAGAGAGAGGAGAGAGATAGAGAGAGAGAGGGGGGAAGAGAGAGAGCGTGTAGAGAAAAAGAGAGGGAAAGAGAGAGAGAGAGAGAGAGAGAGAGAGAGAGAGAGAGAGAGAGAGAGAGAGAGAGAGAGAGAGAGAGAGAGGAGAAAGATAAAGAGAGAGATGGGGGAAAAGAGAGAGCGTGTGAGTAAATAAATGTATGAGGACTGGAGACCGAAGACATACAATGCTCATATGAAAGAATGAGAGAGAAGATTGATAGAAATGGAGTTGAGCGATCGATATTTTATTGAATGCATTTGATATGTTAATGACATTTAAATATCTTTTTAATTAAAAAAAAAACACTTACAATGGCGTCAGCAGCCGGCGCCCCTACACATATGTCTCCGTGAGAAGGCTGGGGAAACAAATGTATTGTAATATAAAGATCTCTAATCAAGTGTTCGGGGTTCTTTTTTTTTTTGCTTTAAAATTCGTTTTAAAAATGTTTGTTGCTTTCTAAAAATAATAAATGACTTTCCAGTGTCTCAGATTCTGGCAGGGGGGTGTCATGTTGTTCAGAAAGCTGTGGGCGCCGTATAGATACCCATTTTCCAGTAAGATGTTTAAAAGGTGATAGACGTCGTTGCTTTATTAAGGCGACTATTCAGTACCGGCCCTCTGTGCCTTGGCGGTGCTTTCCCTTGGCATGTCGTCAGTGCCCACCCAGTGCTGAGTGCATCTTTTAAAAGCACTGAAAAGGTTCTTTCCCCGGATGTCTGGTCAGTGCCTAACCTTAGGCACTTGGCAACTGTTTGCCATAGGCACTTGGTCACTGATTCCCATGGCATTTTTATGGAGCAGAAACTTGGAAAACAACAGCGAGCATTACGCAGAAAATGCAGACATTCATAAATACATGCCTTAGAAAAATACTGAACATCAAATGGCCAAATAATATCACCAACAAAGATCTACAAGAAAGGACATACCAGGTGACCATTGATGAAGATATAAAGAAAAGATGGAGGTGGATAGGGCATACGCTCCGAAAACCCCCAGATAGCACCACTAGACAATGCCTAACATGGAACCCACAGGGAAAAAGAATGAGAGGAAGGCCTAAGAATACATGGAGACGTGAGCTAGAGGCAGACACACAAAATATGGGATACACCTGGAAGCAATTGGAAAGGAAAGCACAGGACCGTGCTGCGTGGAAAATTATTCTGTAAGGCCTATGGGTGTTGAACGACCCTTTCACGGGGGTCACCTAAGACCATCTGAAAACTCATAAAGGCTACAGTTATGAAGTAGCAACGAAAATAATTTTATGGTTGGGGGTCGCCACAACATTGGGAACTGTATTAAAGAGTCGCGACATTAGAAAAGTTGAGAACCACTGACATAATTGTTTGTTTTTTTTAAATTTTTTTAGAAAAACCCTCTCCCTCGACTGACTCCACCATTTTACAGTGTGTTAAGATCGGTGTAACAGTTTTATGTCTCCAGATCTGCCCCCAATGGAATTTTGAGCTGCCCGATTGACAGGCTACTTGAGAACGTCACGTTACCTTGACAGTGGTGGGGTACGCCTTGAAGCATTGACAGGCTACTTGAGAACGTCACATTACCTTGACAGTGGTGGGGTACGCCTTGAAGCACTCCGTCCATTCCGTCACAAGCTCCTGATTGATGTCACGGAGATGGTAAATAACATCCCTGTCGAATACAGGCTTTTCCTCCATGCTGTAGAGAGATTCATTATCTTGTTAGGTGGAATTGTTTTCAGAGGAGAGAGAATCGCAGAACGAGAGGGAGGAGGGAGAGGTGGGATATATGGGAGAGGGAGAAAGAGAAGAGCGGAGGAAACGGGGGGGGGGAGATGGGGAACATTATTTTTTAAAACTATATATCCTAATCGAAGTAAATGATGGAGTTGGGAAAGTGGCGTAGCGAGACACTGTCCCACCCCAGGCAGACTTTGAATTTGCCGCCCCCCCCCCCAATAAAAAATACTACACAAAAATAAAAGTTTGTGCTTTTTGGCACTGTGATACCTGGAATTCACAAAACGTGAAATAACGCTGCCCCTGACACATGCACTAAAACGGTTAAAGAGGGGGGGGGGAATAATGGGCTCCAAAAGGCGCACAGCCAAAATGGGGGGAAGGGGGCATTGATGGGACTCATTGACTCCCTCCGTGAAAAAGTTTGTTAATTTCAAGAACCAAAGGTTCTTTTTTTTACACAAAAATAAAAGTTTGTGCTTTTTGGCACTGTGATACCTGGAATTCACAAAACGTGAAATAACGCTGCCCCTGACACATGCACTAAAACGGTTAAAGAGGGGGGGGGGGAATAATGGGCTCCAAAAGGCGCACAGCCAAAATGGGGGGAAGGGGGCATTGATGGGACTCATTGACTCCCTCCGTGAAAAATGTTGTTAAATTCAAGATACAAAGGTTCTTTTTTTGGCATACCTGAATTTAATATGGCGCAAATCTACACAGAGAAATGCTATGAATTTTATTATTTTTTTTTTAGTTTTAGTTGTTACTAAATAGTAATGTTGTTAAATAATGTGTTTCAAGATATTATAAAACTATTAATTTGTTACTAAATAATTATTTTCTTTAATAATATTTATTTAACCCATTATAAATTAATTTGTTGAAAACTTCATTAGTAAAACAAAAAAACAAATGTTTAAAGGTGCCGTCACAAATAGGCATTTCATATCCATAGGCATTGATCTCTTCCCAGGGAATGGCAGCACGAATGTGCTGAAAAGCCCTGAGCACTTGTTTCACTGCGTACCTGCGTACCTGTGTGCGTACCTGTGTGTCTGCGTACCTTTTTACGTGTGTACCTGGTTACCCGCGTACCTGTGTACCTGCCTACCTGTGTACCCACGTACCTGTTTACTAGCGTACCTGTGTTCTTGCGTACCTCTTTACCTGTGTACCCGTGTACTTGCGTACCTGGTTACCTGCGCACCTGTGTACCTGCGCACCTGCAAGCCTCTTACCTTGAGATGCCGTTCATTCGGTGTTTAAACAAATTATTTTACTTTACCTCACTTGTAATTGATTGGTTTGTAACGTCGATAAATGAAAATCAGAAATGTGCCCCCTAACCAGAGATCGAGTTGAAGATGTCCGTCCTTTTTATGATACGTGTCTTAGGGCACATTACTTGATGAAGCTTGAGCGAGCACAGTTTTAACTTTTTAAAACATTGACCTAACTAATAATTAGCTGCAACTCGACACGATACGATTAGGATGTAAATACCTTGTGGGAAGTTTATTTTGAAAACACTGCGACAGCGAAAGAAACGGTAGTTATGAATTAATAATAAAACAGAAAGTCTGTAGGTGTATCATTTCGGTAATTCTCTATTCTTTCTGAGAAAACGAAATGTATATCGTAATAACTAGATACAATTTAAAAACAATAGCCTGAAAGTTAAATATAATGATATGTCCTTACAATAACCTATACTCATGTATTGGTTAGCTCAAAATGAGTTATCATGGTATTGTATTTTGTACCATAATTGTTTTGTTTTTGTTTTTAAACTAAATATAGCCATGGGAATTTCCCACATGCTCATTTGTTTTATTTGGATTTGTGGGGAATGGGTTCCCCCGAAAGGAAAGAGGCGCTTCATAAATCTCTAATACAGTAATGTCCCATAAAATTGTACACGTTTATATATATATATATATATATATATATATATATATATATATATATATATATATTATATATTTATAACAATAAACTGTGAAAATATAACTACACTTATATATATATATATATATATATATATATATATATATATATATATATATATATTATAAATTGCTAACATTAAACTGCGGAAATTTAACTACACTAACAGCTACAGTTACAGTAAGGACGACCAAATGTCCCGTAAAAACGGAGTGTCCCGTTTTTTCACGATCATACCCGGTGTCCCGAAACAGTCTCTCGGGACGCCTAAATGTCCCGTTTCTAAAACCAAACACATTTTCACATAGTAGAGAATAAGGATGTTTTAACAATGGCTAAATATCGTCAATTTAAATCCTTTACTGGAGAAATTTTTTTTTTTTTGTATCGTATTCTGTTGTAAAATATGTATAAATAAGTAAGTATTCACTGCAAAATTACTTGTTTCGTTTATGATAAGCCTCAGAATTTAAATTAAATTACAAAAGTGAAAGTAAACTTAAAAAGATTTCTAGGTCTCAAAATAGTTAAAATTAGCATATTTCTATAAACAGTTTCCAGCGGAGGCCCCCGGGCCACTTTTTAGCTAGAGGGTATCCCTCCAACGCGCCTTGGGTGTCCCGTTTTTTCCAGTTCATGATTTGGTCACCCTAAGTTACAGAGATGTACCACATAAATTCCATCAACCATTTTTTCCGTATTATTTAACATCGTGCATTATCTTCTTTTTTAAATTCCTAATGCAAATAAGAGGGCAACTCGAACAAAGTTAATTATCAAGTAACAATATTAAAGATACCAAAATAATCGTAGGTTTAAAATGGCGGGCTAAATAGCTTTATTCAGAACCATATGAGGAATAAAAGCCCATACTCAGCTATTATTACATTAAAAAGTTCATCTTCTATTTAGAAATCCTAAGTTAATTATCATCGTACCACTGGCAGTTCTTCTTACGTTCCCTTCCGTCCTCTGTCTTCATGACATTTACTTTCTCCTGCCCTGCGCTGCTCCACTATGTGACCTGAAATGCTATACTATGTACCCTGAAATGCTCCACTCTGTGCCCTGCACTGCTCCACTAAGTGCCCTGCACTGTTCCACTATGTGCCCTGCAATGCTCAAAACATCACACTTCAGGTCACGTCCGAGTGACAATGGCGACAGTATCAAACTTATTCTCACATGTCATCCCAAGAATCTTTCAGCCAAACACGTTTTCCTTTTAAAAAACATGCCATTTTCCTCGCCGACCCTGAAACCCACACATTTTCTCACCACTGCCTCTCATCGTTTTCCGAAGAGATAAGAATGTACGAGATCTCCTTTTTCGTAGCCACCTCCGTGTTACCCACCCTCTCACTTAGGAGCTTAGCAACGTAAAAGATGCCGTTGCCAAACCTGCCCCTTTGTTATCGAGACCCAACACACACCCTTCCCAAAGGGTGGTTTTCTGATAAGGGACTCTTTCCTTTGCACCAGCTGCAATGTTATCTAAGCCATTTTTTTCTACCCGCTGCCATATGGCTTATCTGGGTGAGACAGGACGGCGTCTCTCTGATTGATGTACTGAACACTTTCAAAATATTGCGCACGATAAACAGTGTTATATCTCAAAAAACAACTCAATAGCAGTGATCACAAGGACTCCGGCGACTTTGCTCTCACTGCCGCTGTTTCCTGTACCAACACGTCCGCCAGTGTGAGGTTAGAGAACAAACTGATACACGCCTCTGTGACCTTGAAACCATGTGGCATTAATTGCTACTTTCTCCTTCACTTGTTAAATCTTTTCTCCGCCTCTACCTTTGCTACAACATATCGCAGTAGACTTACTTTTTCTCTCTCATTTTCCCACATTGTATCTATTATTACTCATACCTCCTAATGGTGTATTACATTTCTCTTTTTGTCATCTCAATTACTGCATTTACGCAAAGAGGTTTGTTTATTATTTATAGTTATAACACTCGTTATTTGTTCGCTGAAGAAGGCTTCTTGTCGACACTTTCGTTGTTTTGTTATGTCTTTATATAAAGTTTTGCCCTGCCTTGTTTCACATACTTACTTTTATCAAACCTGATTGCAGTCTCTCCCCCTTATCATACACCAGGTATTAGAGTAACATTAGGTATAAATGTTCTACCAGGTATAAAAACACGTCAAGTTTATAATGTAACACCAGGTAGGTATGTAGCACCAAAATATAAATGTAACATCAGGTATAAAAGCAACCTCAGTTATAAGAGTAACACAAGGTATAAATGCAACACAAGGTGTACATGTACCACCAGGTATATAAGTAACACCGGGTCTATAAGTAACACCGGGTATATAAGTAACACCACTCGTAATAGGAGCAGCAGTCCGAGCCGGTAAAACTCAAGATGATTCTCTAGTCATCAGTTGTACTCCAGGGTCATCCTCGTTGCCCTTACATCACCTGCATAACGTAACAGCAAGGAGCCCCTGTGTAAGCAACATCTATGTACTACCTGGAGCAGTTGATCGGAACCAATGGCGTATCTTAAACAAGCGATGCGCTAATTGCTTTACGGCGTCCCGTGTTGAAAAAAAAAAGGAAATTTTGAGAAAAATAGTTTATTAGCAAGTCACGTACTGTTTGGTAGCCGGGTAAAAAAAAAAAAAAAAAAAAAAAAAGGAAATTTTGAAAAAAATAGTTTTTTAGAAAGCACCGTACTGTTTGGAAGCCGGGAAAAAAAAAAAAAAAAAAAAAAAAAAGCTACTTCTGGTCACACCCAAGTGGCTTAAGGTAGCCGCGTAGCAGTGCCTTGTTGTAGCACTCAGCGGCATCTTTTGTGAGGCATACAGCAATGCCTTTTGGTAGCCGTTTAGCCGTGTAACCATGCATAGTAGCAGGCAGCTGCTTCTGGTGGCCATGTAGAAATGTTCTGCCCCTAGCTGTGTATCGCTAACACCGCCTTTTGGTAGCCGTGTAGTAATGGTAGCAGGTAGCTGCTTCTGGTGGCCATGTAGAAATGGTCTGCCCCTAGCTGTGTATCGCTAACACCGCCTTTTGGTAGCCGTGTAGTAATGGTAGCAGGCAGCTGCTTCTGGTGGCCATGTAAGAAATGTTCTGCCCCTAGCTGTGTATCGCTAACACCGCCTTTTGGTAGCCGTGTAGTAATGGTAGCAGGCAGCTGCTTCTGGTGGCCATGTAGAAATGTTCTGCCCCTAGCTGTGTATCGCTAACACAGGGTATATTTTGAACTGGTCTCATCAGCCGTTTGCCCACCCACAGTCAAAGGCAATTTCAGAATTAGCACAAGTACGATGCTTGAGCTGGTCATGGTCGCCTTCGACTGACGAACTATATTCTTAGACTTGCCGGGGCCCTAAGCTATAAAAAGTCCAGAGGGCCCCCTACCATTTTAAATTACGTCAGATGGTCAAAGAAAAAAATTAAATTTATAGCCAGCGGATTTTGAGGCCCTAGTATATAGCTTATTAAAATATAGGCACATACGGTTCTGGTTTATATTTCAAGGTTCTCCTGCGAGCATTTCAGCCACAACTGTTTTTCAGGAAGATTCAATTCTGTTCAAGTTACATTTGTCTTTTACAACTTCTGGAGATCACATATGTTGCGAAGTTACAACCTGTAGTGGTTACGTCTGGCGTAACTTTACAAGACGCTGTATCCCATTTGTCTTAAATTTACAATACGCAGTAGTGGGCTACACGTTTCTTGCAGCTACATACTATTTTAAAGGCATTTAACCCCCCCCCCAGCCCCCACCCCATAAAACCCTCAATCAAAAGCTTCCAGGAAAAATTCTGATTAAAAAAATTGTAATAGAAAACAATGTCTAGATTCTCTTCGTTCCTCTTCCGTTTTCTGTCTTCCCGGCATTCAATTTCTCTTGCCCTGGAATGCTCTACTGTGTACCCTGCTCTGCTTCACTCTGTGCCCTGCATTGCTTCACTATGGGCCATGCACTGCTACACTATCTGACCTGCGCCACTATGTGCCCTGCACTCTTCACTGTGTACCCTGCGCTGCTCCACTATGTGCCCTATGCTGCTCCACTATGTGCCCTGCAGTGATCCACTATGTGCCCTGCACTCTTCACTGTGTGCCCTGCGCTGCTCCACTATGTGCCCTATGCTGCTCCACTATGTGCCCTGCGCTGCTCCACTATGATTATAAATACAAACTTGATTCAAATTTATAGTTTCTGTCTAGGCAACCAGCTTGTCCTCCTACAGAAAATCCCAAGCCTCGTGATTTCGTCTTGCGAAGTCCACACCATCGTCACATTGTGACGTCTACACCATCGTCACATTGTGACGTCTACACCATCGTCACATTGTGACGTCTACACCATCGACACATTGTGACGTCTACACCATCGTCACATTGTGACGTCTACACCATCGTCACATTGTGACGTCTACATCATCGTCACATTGTGATGTCTACACCATCGTCACATTGTGACGTCTACACCATCGACACATTGTGACGTCTACACCATCGTCACATTGTGACGTCTACGCCATCGTCCCATTGTGACGTCTACACCATCAACACATTGTGACGTCTACACCATCGTCACATTGTGACGGACGGATGCCAGCAAAAAAAGTTTTGTTGAAATTAGTCGGATTTTTAAATTCCTTTTCTTTTTTCTTTCCTTTAAGCCTCAAACAATTAATGCTTGCGATGCCAGGATCTTAAATAAGTGTTTGGGTTTGGGTTATAGCATGTGTTAAGGAATTCAAACATCAAACATGACTAAGAGAAGGCTTCAAGGGGGAAAACCAGTGA